CCTCAGGACGCCCTCGAGGTGGTGAAACAGCCATCACCTTGGGCTTAGGGTTCCAGGTTTAGGGTTTAGGGGTTAGGGGGCTTTCCACTCAGCTTGGTTTAGGGTTTGGGTACTGCCCCCACCCAGTAACAGTCTATATTAGGGGTCCTATTAAGGGCTATATATAACCATATTATTCTAATTACTATCCAACTGTTACTGAGGGGGGGCAGTACCCAAGGTTTTGGGGTTAAGGACATGGAGTTTTGGGTTGGGTGTTGGGTTTAAAGAGGATCGGGGTTTTGGGACGCGGAGGCTATAGGACTTAGGAGTGTTTAGGGTTGTAACATTGCAGGATTTGGGGTTTCTGGGTTTAGGGGTGAAGGTTCCAAGTGCTAAGCCCTGAGCAGGATTTCAAGAGAAGCCCATCTCGACCCTAAACCCCTAGACCCTAAACCCTAAATTCCTAAACCCTAGACCCCAAGCCCAGTCTTCTCTGGGAAGGACCCTGGTATGTAGGGGGGATGGCAGGAGCACCTCGACTTCCTAAACCCTAAACCCAAAATTATTCCCTTCTTCCCTACTAAGACCCTAAACCTTGGGTACTGCCCCCCCTCAGTAACAGTTGGATAGTAACACTAATATGGTTGTATATAGCCCTTAATCGGACCCCTAATATATAGATTGTTACTGGGGGGGGGGCAGTACCCAACCTAAACCCTAAGCCCTAAGACCTAAACCCTAGGCCCTAAGCCGTATCTCCACTTCCAGGTTCAGGGGGTAGGGTTTAACCCTAAGCCGGGATGGGGGGATCCTATGCTATTCAAGGTTCCACATCCTACGCTTAGGGTTTAGGGCTTAGGGGTTTAGGGCTTAGGATTTAGGAGTTTAGGGTTAAGGCTAAGGGTTTAGGGGTTTAGCTAGGTTCCGTGCCTCCATACACGACCACCCCTAAATTTTGTTCGGTGCTTTTCTAACCAAGGGTTCCTTGCATACGTTCTACTTGTATCTGGCATCAACTATATAAGCCCTGAACCCTAAACCGCGTGTTTAGGATTTGGGGTTCATTGGCATTTTTGAGATAGGAAAGCAATACTTGGGATGGCCAGGGGGACTTAGTAAGTATACCTACCGTAGTCTGGCAAAGAAAACGGAAACTGCTATATACTAGGGGTTACGTTTAGAGTGCTATATTCTTTTGGGTTGAGGGTGAGGGGTTTGAGGTCGGGGCGACCTAGTAAGTAGGTTTTTAGCCTCAATTTTTGATGCCATCATATCCACTACTATCCCCCAAGTAGATGCTGTACCCTCGCAGAGTTTCGCGGTGACTTCGGTGATCCACCCCAAACGTAGACCTTGACAAGCTAAAGATGCAAATATTTGGTACAAAACTATTTCTTCCGGGTACACTTAAACTTGTTAGCTAATGTAAGTACCAGGACCCTCCTTGTACCCTTGATTGGGGATGTATGGTCCCTAAATAGTGGGTACTTAGGCCCTAGTAGAGGGTAGGAGGAGGGTCTAGGTATGTATACTCCGCACAATGCCCAGCTCGAACAATAGCAACCAACAACTTTCTTGGCGCTTCCTGGTTTCTGGGCTATGTGTCACTTAAGGACAATTACCTCACCCTAAGGGTCCAAATACCTAATATTCATATACTTACCCAAAACCTGTACTATAATCATACTATAATCACTATTACCCAAAACCCGGGTACCTAATTATTGGGTACTTGGATCCTCTGGGTCAGGAGAAACCATGGGGAGGGGGGTAGTAGCGAAACCCATGACTGGTTCCAGGGCCGAACTGCTCTGTCCTGTAGTGCAAACCCTAAATCCTAAATCACGAATTAAACCTAAGGATCTGAGGCTCCTCCAAGAGCGATTAACCCGAAAGCCAAACCCATGGTGCCCTGAAACCCAAACCCTGATCCCCAAAGCTGAGTCATTGACCCCTACACCCGGTCAAGGTCTAGCGTTTATAGGGTTTAGGGTTTAATTAGCGTTTGACAAGAAATCGTGTAGGGATCCACAATGCTGCGTCGACCGGCAGACAGTCCCAAGCACAGAACTCTTGTGGGTCAGACTCACTCCATCAACCCTAAACTCTGAACCCTGAACTCTAAACCCTGACCCCTAAACTGAAAACCCTGAACTGGCGTTGAGGGTTTGGACCGGAACTCTGGTTTCGGGCTTAGCATGCAGGTTGTAGGGCGCAGTGTGTGCGAGGAACTTTAAACACTGAACCGTACACCCTTCAAACAGGACAGTCACCCAAAAGGGACACAGAAAATCTGAGACTTCGTTAGAGAAGAGGACGCGCATGCAGGGAAACCAAATGGATTAAACCCAAAAGCGTAGGGTTTAGAGTTTGGGGCACTTTAAGGTTAGTGGATACTCATGGACAGAGGGGTTAGATTCTGTGATCTAACAGTTTAGGGGACTTATAGACCCACTTATAACTGCCCACGAAGCTCCACAAGCCCTTGACCCCAAACCCCTCAATCCTAGGCAGCTGCCCAGAGCAATGCGTACCCAGAAAGCCCAAGACCCCTGAACGAGGAAGAGAATTTCACATCATATTAGGTTATTCAGGACCCCGATGAAATTAAGGAGTACCTCCCTAAACCCTAAACCCTAAACTCTAAACCCTAAATCCTAAACTCCTTTAAGTAAAGATATTGGGCTCTGTGGGTGCTCCGACCCTAAACCCTAAACTCTAAATCCTTCGGACAAGAAGCCGTCGCCTCAAAAGGGCAAATCCCATGTGAACCCGTGGGTACATATGGATGAATACACGAGCTGCGGACATGCACATGGGTGGCTTAGGGTTTTGGGTTTAGGGCTTTCAGAGTTCAGCGTGTAGAGTTTGGGGTGTAGGGTCGAGACCCGAGGAATGCTCAGTACCGGAGCATAGCCTGAATAATGATGGGTTCCAAGCATGATTCGAAGAGCATGTCCTTCCTTAAGGGGTATTCGGCTTCCTGGGTCTATGAGGCCTGCCAGTATACGGCTCAAGGCACCCTAAACCCTAACCCTAAGCCCTAAACCCTTACAATTAAAGAAGATACCGAAATCACGTGAAGGGTGCTGGCGGCGTTTGGGTGCTGGCGGCGTTTTGGGTGTAATCTTTAGGCGATGTGTATATTGGGCACTCCTACATTTATTACGCACTTCGAGATTAGCGTTTAAATGAGAGAGACAACTATTTGTAGACTATCATGGGACACTTGGCAGTGCCCAAATGTCACCAGTTCCAACTGCACATTTGTGACCAAATTCAATGGCAATCTGCAACAGTGGATATACGTCAAACCCTCCGACTGCCCTCCACGATTACCCCTAAACGCGAATTACCCTTAAATCCCTCAACCCTAAACCCTTAACCGACAAGAACCACCAGAATAGGAGTACAGCTGTACTGGAGTCCCCTGTTGGTCTGAAGCTCCTACGCACACCTGAAGGTTTAGGGTTTAGGGGTTAGGGTTTAGGGAAAGCCTGAACACATTTTACCCTAAGGGTCCAAAGCATGTAATTATCATGTGGGTTGTTCTCACAATTATGGCCCCCTTTTGGTCACAGGTTATAGTGAAGCAACGAATATTCGGGAGTACCAAACAGGGACTCTAATTTTGGGAGCTACCCATATACCCCCCCCCCCCCAAACTGTAATAACGAGTCATAGAAGAAAATAGCCAGTTTAGAGCATATACCGCCAATATTGCCTCATGGTGCCCTGAAAGAGACGAGGGGTCATATTAGGGGCCCGCACTTCCAACCTGAACCAAACTGTGGGATTTTCCTCAAAGCATGACTTCGTCTTTGGCGGTCCCTGTGATGATGATGATGATGATGATGATAGCCTGATTTGTGAAGGCCCTTGCAAAGAGAACTACTCACTCTCCACAAAGCAGTGGTCCACCGCTGCCTTCAGAGCCCGTAGGGAACCAGCCGTGCCAGAAGCCCCCTCTGTAGTTCCATGTACTTCCTTCTTTTGGGTAGCTAGGAACTTATCATGTACCCACTAAACCCGAAACCACCTAAAACGAACACATAGGATCCCTTGGGCCCGATCATCCCTGTTTCGGCCCCCCCCCAGATCAACCCTTGAATTCTCAAACGTGTGGGGGTGATACCCTAAAACCCCCTTAAACCCCAAACCCCACAAGATGCTAAACCCTAAACGTAGGGCTTTAGGGTTTAGGGTGCCCCCCAAACCTAAACTACCGTAACTACCTGTCTGCCCAGCATCATCGAGGTGTTGTCGCTGAGGCGGTCTTCCAGGTCCTGGACAAGGGTGCTGGACTTTTTTCGTAGGAGCAAAAAAGGTGTTCAGGGTTTCAAGGTTCATGGTTTCGGGTACAAAGCAAAGTGGGCTTAGGGTTTAGGGTACAGGGTTTCAGAGGTTTGGGCATATGGAGACCCTACGTAGGAACCTATGTTGCTCGAATAGTGTTGTAGGAATCCAGTCTTCCACAGTCGTCTCATAATCAGTCGGGAAGGTCGGAGGGGTGTATCATAGTAAGATGATGTTTGGGATTCTAAGGGCATAATGCCGGTCACTAAATGGGTTTCTGCAGTAGGGTTCTGAGACTTCGGGGTTGATAAGCCATAGACTCTGGAATCCCTGAGCACCCACCCTAAACCCTAAACCCTAAACCAATATTGAGGGCCCAAGCAGCTGCTGGACTACACCTTGGAAAAATGCGTGAAACCTAAACCCTAAACCCTAAACCCCTAAGCCCTAAACCCTATGGCCCTCCTCAACTAAGCGGTTTAATAAGAAGTCGATAGTTTTGGACCTGGCCTGAAATCTACAATCCTGAAGCTTAAGATCCTTCAGGCAACATTCTAAATTCAAAGTTCTAGTAAGAGCAGCGTGGATGAGGAAAGAAAATTACTTAGTGTACCGAACTACGTTTAATACATATGCTTGGCCGCGCAACTTCGCACAATTAAGGCCCCCCAGACTCTAAACCCTAACCCTAAATCCTAACTCCCTGAGTCTTCCTCGCTTGCCTTCTGGGAGATTGACGAAACCACCGAAAGCGGCTCGACTGGAGCTGGTGCCTGGCTGACGGGTTTAGGGTTCAGGGTTAAACCCTAAACCCTAAAGGTTGGGGGTCTGAGGTTTCTAATCATTTCATGTTACTTGGGTCAATCCCCCATATTAACTCAACTCACGTTCTCTTGGCCAGGAATACGGGAACATAATCCCTATAAAAAAGATTCCCTTACCGCCTACTAACAACCAGTAAGTAATATTAGGGCCATGGCTTAGGGTTTAACATTTTTGGGGTTGGAGCTTTGGATATGCCAAGGAAAGTTTGGGGCCCTAGGTTTGTTCAGGCTTTAATCAGCAGTACTTCAAACCCTAAACCCTAAACCCCAAACAACCCTAAAACTACTGCTTGAGGGAGGTTGGGAGTTTAGGACAGAGGGGTTTCTAGTCTCTATTAAGTAGATAGAATATGGCTTTGAAATATATTATAATAAGACCTCCTTATACCCCATATTCTATCTACTTAAGGGGGACTCTATCCCTAAACCCTAAACCCTATATCTACTTAAGGGGGGCTGCAGGGTCTAGTGGGTTCAGGATGTCAGGGATCCAGTTGCGCGCCCTTCCTAATTGGGGATAGCGGAATATGTAGATATATATATATATAGAGTGAAGTATACAGGGATCATGGAATAGAAAATGGAAACTACTACATTATACCAGGGTAAGCCACGACACCGAGCCCTGAAGGACCTGGGTACATCTAGTACTTTTGGGGGGGACCAGCTATCATCAATCATCTACACTCCAGGACCCTCCTTGTACCCTTACTTGGGGATATATGGTCCCTAATAGTGGGTACTTAGGCCCTAATAGAGGGTAGGAGGAGGGTCTCTGCTCATGCCAGCCTGAGCATTCTAGCATGGCCCCTGGACTCTGGGCACGTAATGGCACGCATGCATCGTAAACACCGACTTCTGAAAGTGTCTTCATGGAAGGATTGCAAATCAGAATAATACGCATGCCCTTCACCCTAAGCCCTAACATGTCTGAACATGCCCAAGCCTTTTGATTAATCCCACCCCCTAGAACCCTAAGCCCTAAACCCTGAGCCCTATACCCTAAACCCTGGACTACCAAACTCTCAACCCCTAACCACGGAGCCCCAGAGAACCCAACATGAAAAAAAAGCGCTGCTCACATGATCCCAAACAGGCTCCGTCTACTCCAAATGCCAAGCCCCGATCCCTAATAGGGTTAAGACACAAATGCTGCTAAGTCGAGTCAAGTAATTAACTGGAATTCGGAAAGTAGCCCTAAGACATGTAGCCCTAAGGGTCCAAGGGCCCAAATGTTCGGATTTAGCTCCCAAATACCACTCAAATGGTAGCATCTGGGCTCTAAAGCCCCGTTATTTGAGTCCTTGGACCCTTATGGTAGGGCTTAGGGTTAAAGGTGTCAAGGCTTCAGGTTTAGGACTTTCAGCTGGTCCCATCCCTTACCCTAAGGGTCCAAGGACCTAAATAATAGGGCTTTAGGTCTCAAATACCATTGATATTATAGTAGTTGGGCCCTAAAGCCTTATTATTTGGACCCTTAGGGTTACAATATGTTTCAAGGGTATTGAGATCCCTCGACGGCCTGAGGCCTCGGGTGTTTTGTTGCTGACGCGGTTTTCACGGCTTAGGGTTCAGGCCTTAGGGTATACGGTATAGGGACCCTAAACCCTAAACCCTCCCCCGCACCCCTCTCACCCCCCTAACCCCCCCTGGGTTTAGAATTTAGGGTTTAGGGCTGCCTTGCGCGTGGCGAGCACAGCAGCTGCGGCAGCCATCTGGGCTTCTGGAGTCATGCTTTGCGCCAGGGCATTCACCTGTTTAGGGTCTAGGTCGTTTAGGGTTTTAGGGTTTAGAGCTTTGTGTTTAAGGTTTAGGGTCTTGGGACTGGATTCCCACAAGAGCATTCGCCCACTTGGGGCTTAGGGTTTTGGTTCCCACAAGGGCATTTGCCAGTTTGGGGTCTAGGGTCACAAAATCATCTCCTACAATCCCCATAGGACCCTAAACCCTTAACCCTACGATCCCCATAGGACCCCCTACAATCCCTTCCTAAGCTCCACATATTCCAGGGTCCCCACGCGTACCGTTGTTTTGAGAGACCACGCACCGTGTAATGGCATTCCATTAAGCGGGACTCATCATTAGGGGTTGGGGGATAATTATCAGCCCTATACACCCTCTACCCTGCAAGAGATAGAAGTTCCACTTTCTTTTCCTTTCCTCTATACACCCTAAACCCTAAACCCTACTGTTGAAGTGATTCACTATCACTTCGATGCGTAGTTGAAGTGCCCCTTTGACTGAACAGTCTCACGCAGTAACAGCCATGGCAACGCAATTTGGAATTTCCCTTTTTAAGTCACAAGGAAATGTGAATCTCAGTGCATGCGCTCTACGCTATGCCGACTTCTGTACATTATGCTTCTTCAAAGAATGAAGGTCGAAAGTGATAAATTCTTGCTGTACGCTGGCCCAAGGGTTTTGATGTCCGCAGCCTTCCCTTTGAGTCCCAAGGGCCACACATGCATTCAGTTGTCAACAACTCCTCACAGCTGCTAACAACATGTCGAATCACACTGGTCACACTGGGAGGTGGATATACAGAGCTCACCATCTGACACCTCAAGTGAGCATCAGGTTTTCTTCACTCCTCCTTGGAGAAGTCGCCAGGCTCTCTCCACCACTCTCCACGGAGCATCAACCAGTATTTGATTGTGTCAAGCGACGAAAGTTACGTCTCCTCTTGAAGAGTTGTTTGTTGCCCAGACACGCCAAGCATGGCGCTACTTCACGAGGCTGAGTTCGCGCCTTCCGAAGCCCTTCACATTGGGCATGGCTGTGATAATGCTCCCCAAACTGCGTGACAACGAAACTTCCAGGCAAGGGTTCCAGACTCGGCTAGGGATTTCAATTGGTACTTCAACCCTTACAGGTATCTCCCGAACAATGACCTCAGGTTGCCAGGGATCTGTTTGGACTGCTGCTTGGACTGGAGGTCCTCATCGTCGTCTTGTAAACAACCCCCTTACCACTGTCTCTTCTCTGAGAACCTCATGGCTTCCACGTGCAGTTACATCCACTTCCAGAGTCTGGTCAACTGGATGACATTGCGGAATCTCAGCGATCCTTTGAGATCTTCTCCCTGGAACACCTCGAGTCTTTGCTTTAGCCGTTGGTTGTAGTCTGCCCTGTGGTTCACCCAACGGTTCCGACACAGATGCCTCTCTGACATCCCACTGGCGATCCAGCTCCCTCTGCACCACACTCGCTGTCTGATCTCGCAGTCTGGCCAACCTCCTTGCTCTTCTGGACGTCGCAAGCACCGACCACTTCAGCAGCTCCCATCCCAGCACACAACACAGAATCGCCAGCATGAGCCATGTACTTGTCAATAAAGTGCGATCTACTGCAAGTCCCCTAGGAGCTAACTCTTCGTAGTTTTGTACCAACACCATCCCCTTAGACCCCTGAAACTGAAGCAACGCAAGAAGAGCTATCAGCGCCTTAGCAAATTGGGAACTCTTGGGGGCTATAGCAGAGAGGTTACATGGTTGCTGGCTGCTGCTGGCTGCTGGAGCTGGTGTGTGTTGCTGCTTCAGAGTCTGATTCCTGTCCGTCAACTCTGACGTCCATGCCCCAAAGAGACAACAACATCTGCATTCTGCCAGAACTCAACGCTTTGGTCAGGAGATCTGCAATCAGCCATTCACCCCTGCAATGGCTGATTTTGAAGTGATTCCTCTCGATCTGCTCACACAACCACTGTGCTTTAATGCGCAAATGACGAGTCCTCCAGGATCCTGAGCCCGAAGCGATGGACAATGCTGAGGTGGAGTCCGTTTGAATCTCCTTTTCATTGAAGATCATATCCAGGTCCTTGAGCAAGGCTTCGACACTGAGTAATGCTACACTGCCCTCTAGAGTTGAACTCAGCTCCGCTTCTGCCGTAGACAAACTCACTGATGGTTGTCGAGCACTACGCCAAAGAATTGGAGCTCCGTACACCAGGATTACCCATCCCGTATGAGACCTTGAAGAGTCTGGAGCAAAGGAGGAATCTGAGCACATGCACAATGTCTTAGAGGTTGCTTCCAGCTTCAGGCGGTAGTTGATTGTACGCTGTATGTACCCCAGTGTTTTCTCCGCTATCTGCAAAGTTCTGGATGGGGCCTTTGTTGATAAACTCGCCATAACCGATGCGGTGTACGACAAATCCGGCCTTGACCGCTGAGATAGCCACAGTATTTCACCCGTAGCTCCTTGGGCATCTCTAATTAACTCTGCATCCACTGACTCCTGCTCCAGGGATTCCAAGGCTGAAAGTTCCCGCGTGATTGGAACCAAATCCCTTTTCCCCGGTGAAACATCTTTAGCCCTAAACAGCTCCTTTGCAAATCCCACTTGGGACACCCAGAAGAACCCAGCTTCGTCAATGTCAATTTCCAGACCCAAAAACCGAATTGGACAGCCAGAGGTGACTAAAGCCAGATCAGAAGTTCGCCATATCCCGGAAATCGCGGTAGCAAGAGATCGGACCACATGAATATCTGAACATATCAGGATGTCATCTACATAGATCACCATGACACCCTTGACTTCGCCAGACTCCTCCTGGATGGTCCACCACGATGGCTCAATCCTTCCTTGGACCAGCTTATACGTGGTACCTTGGCAAACGAAAGTCACAGGCCTTAGTTTCTCATCTCTATAGCATCCCCAGAGATGAGGAGCTTCACGCAGCCCATATAAGGCATGAGTCAGCTTCCAGAGTTCTCCTGCCGGAACCAACTGGGCCCTTTCCAAAACCCTCGGGGGCTGAACCACTATCTGAGGTGCGTCATCTCCTATTAACGGTGTCCTAAGGAATGCGGAGACTATATCTACAATGCCTGGGATCCACCCGAAATGATGAGCAAGCACTAATGCAATGCGAACAACCTCAGCTGGAGCCGTTCCAGAATACGTATCCGTGCCGGATGCACTGGCAAGGTTCCCACACACCACGAGTCTGACTTTGCGTTTGAACCTGAAGCCGGATTGTCAGCACAAGGGCTATCACCAGGTTTTATGGTGAACACAAGCTTCGTTGGCAACTTTTGCACCCTGGCTGACCGAAGTAAATCCCGTTGCCGGAGATCCCCTCTAGGAATCTTATCCACAGCATGAGCGACCGCTCTTTCTCGATTGCCGGGATCCATACCTCAATGTTCTGCAACACCTCACTGGGATCCACATTATGGACCACTTGGAGAGGACCTGTGAGGGACTTGATGACTCTTTCAATGTCCTTCGTGTAGAGCACCTCTGTCTTGCCAACTTTAGGACCACTCAGGACAGACTGCTCCTCCTCACCCAAGCATAGCTGAGCCAAACCCGGACTGTCACCCTCGCTCTTTAGGTCGAGGAATACCTCGCCACTGTACATGATTGCATCAACACCTGGATCCACCACAGTGTCGGAATCTGAATTCTTGGCAAGCTCGAGGCACCTATCAATTCCACTTGAGGAAAGAATCGTCGCATGCTTCTCGAACTCTCCCACGCACCCTACTCTGCCGAACTGAAGCATCGCTATGGAAGGACCTGGCTCCTCCCGAATTTTCCACGACACATCGAAGTGGTAACTTGTACCACCTGCAGGAAGTATCTCCGACCACCCGCCAGTGCGCTCCAATCGTGGTCCCTGTTTGGAGGGTTTATCCTCCTCGAAGCCTTCGCTGTCTGACATGTCGTTGTCAATCGGGAATCCTAACCGGACCATCCTTGTAACATCCTGCGGACTCAATTTATGAGTCAGTGCAGGGGTGTAAGCAATGAGCACCATACGACGCCCACGCCATGGTTCTGTAGCATGTAGTCGCCTGGCATCGAACCTCATCACCTGCCCCCTCTCTAATGGACGCGTAATTCCGAATCTCTGCTTCCCCGATGAGTCCGCCTTTGAGGTCACAGAGCCCAAGACTTGATCACCATGTTGTAATTCCACCCATAATCCACCACCACTTCTGGGAACCGCCACCGGGATTACGTAATTCATGGATCCACCTTGGTTATGTCTATCGACATGAACGTCTCGTTCTGTGTCTATGGACATGCAAACCGCAGTGAAAGTGATGTCCTCATCGAGCTCAGTAAAGCATCTCACCATAAGCCTCGAAAGCCATGGATGCTTCTCCGTGCCCCTTAAAAGGCCTGTCACTCCCCCGTGCCGGAAGGCGCCAATCTTGAAGTCCGACCCATTCAGCAGTACTGCTGAGGCTCTGTCCAGCACATCCAGTGCTTTCTGGTAGTCCCAGTTCACCAGGATATCTTCCGCGTCCTGCTGCAACAGATCTAGAGACTCCTCCTTGGGCTGTTGCGGTCGTAGAGGTTCCAGTCTTACATCTAAACTCTGCTTCCCTCTGATTCTGTGACTTGGTCTCCCAGGTGGTTCTGGCTCATGATATTTATCTTCAAGTGGACCTGGATGAACCAACTTCCTCACATGGAACGTATGGATCAAACCTTCAGGTTGGTCATCTACCGGGGGCACGAAAATGACATGTCGTTCATTCAGTGTGCTGGACAAACCAAGATAGTGGCCCTGTACCCATTGCGTCCTCAAGCTGTCAGGCTTTGCAGTAGTGCCTGCCCCAGTGTATGGTCTCTTTCTCACATGCGCTGTTGCACCAAAAGGAGCGGCAAGCTTTGAGGGCATACCTGTCAAGGCAGCCCGCTGCATCACACACGCAGTGTCGGCCGCGCTGGGCCATAACCTGAGAGGAAGTTTAGCTCCTATAAGCAATGAACGTATCCTTTGCTTTAGCCACTTAAC